GAGATCGCGCCATTGCACTCCAGCCTAGGTAAAAGGAGTGAAACTCCGTCTCAAAAAAAAAAAAAAAGATTTATAAATGTGAATATTTGTGAAATGCAAATAAAGTTTCTATCATTATTAATTACTTATGATAAACTATACAAAAAATAAGACCTCTTCCAGTTCTAACTGTCTATGTACAAAATATAAACAGGAATATTCATAAATTTAATGGGTCTTCTCTACCACTCACAATTTGCTAACCCTAAGATATATGTCCAGAGAACATGAACAACTATATAGACCTTTGGGTTTTTTTGTTGCTTTCTTTTTGTTTTAAGAGACACGGTCTTACTCCATCATCTAGGCTGGAGTGCAGTGGCACAATCATAGCTCACTGCAGCCTTGAACTACTGGGCTCAAATGATCCTCCTGCCTTGCCCTTTCAAAGTGCTGGGATTACAAGTATGAGCAACTGCACCTGGCCTGCATTTGTATTTATATCTAGATATCTAGGTACAGATGTACACATATCGACTTAAACATTTCATATATCCACTGTACGTGTGGGGTTAATATTTACCTGGTGCTTCTCAGATTCCTGCATTCCCCACTGAACAAAATCCTGTGGTATAAGTGTGATATACATATCTCTTTTGTTATTAAAATTATGAGAGTCTCACTCACCTATAGCAATACTCTTAATACCAACAAGATAAGTCTATTTCTTATGATCTTCTGTTCCTTGCTGACACCGCTCATTAATACGAACACTGAAACATGAAGGGTAGAGGTAAGGCAAAATGGGCTTAGGTAGTTGGGATGTTTATTAAAGGCTCTGAAGTACCACATGGGATGAAGTTTTATTTATTTATTTGGCTGCCCCAGCTGGAGTGCAGTGGTGTGATCACGGCTCACTACAGCCGTGATCTTGACTTCCCAGGCTCCAGGTGATTCTCCCACCTCAGCCTCCTCAGTAGCTGGGACTACAGGTGTGTGCCAACATGCCTGGATAATTTTTTGTATTTTTAGTAGAGAGGGGGTTTCACCATGTTGCCCAGGCTGATCTTGAACTCCTGGACTCAAGTAACCTGCTTGCCTCAACCTTCCAAAGTTCTGGGATCATAGGCATGAGCCACCATGCCTGGCTGAAGCTTTTAGATTAACTGGAGGATACAGAACTTAGGAGTCCAAAAGGAATTTTTTGGGTTTCAGGGATTCAGAAAATCTTGTGAGGTTACCTGAGGAGGTGGGGGTTCATGAATTCAGTGCATACATAACCCAAGGTGTCGTTATTTCCATAGTCCACCAGGGTTAGCTCTCTGGCATTGAAGATCATACATACCTGGGAAAAATGGAGTTGTTATACGGTGGAAAGGCTACATGAAGAAAAACAGATGTGCGAGGTGTACTGTCAGTTCAAGGTGACTCCCACTTTTCTCCTTGTTCTCCTACCCTGCCAATTTCATTCTCCCTGTTTCTTTATCTGCTGTTTCCCTATCCCTTGCAACTTGCCATCTTTATGACACAGAAGCTAGAAGGAGGCTTATGGAGATGGTGATAGTGAATCAAGCTCTACTCACATTCTCATTTTCAAAGGAATACTTCTCGTTGCCATCAGATCCCAGCCAGGCTATCTGTAAAGGAGAAGACTTAAGAAGCAATGTGGATAATTACCCAAGACAACGCCAAAAGAATGACAGGTTGGGAAGCAGAAGGACCATATTTAGGGAGGCTTTGGCACTACACAAAAGCGGTGCTGTATCAGAATTTGCTCTGGTCCCTGAGAGGAACCAGAGAGATGTTTCTGAGA